AGAGAGAGAGAGAGAGAGAGAGAGAGAGAGAGAGAGAGAGAGAGAGAGAGAGATACTGGAAATGATTTTGACTATTGTGCTAGACTCAAACATTTATTTACAAAAATAGAAATAGACTGGGGCTAGATGTCTTTGTATATGTAGCCAGGTTGTAACATTTTGTGAGTCAGTTTAAACCCCACCCTAACTTAGCTGATGCTCTTTATCTTCCAAAACAACCACCACCATCAATGTCACTTGCAACTTGGGGCTGACTAGAAATGGGAGACAGCAAATACCTCCTAAACAGGACATTTAAACTCAATGAGTATTTTGTTTTGCAAGAGGACATCTTCAATCATTTCCCGAATATATTTTTGAAACTCCTTGGTCAAACTAAGAAACATTGACATAAGCAATCATAGCATTTTAAACTGGTGATGGCCTGGGCAACCTAGTAAAACTCTGTCTCTACAAAAAATATGTTTAAAAATTAGCCAGTCATGGTGGCACATGCCTGTAGTCACAGCTACTCAGGAGGCTAAGGTGGGAGGATCGCTCGAGCCCAGGGGGTCAAGGCTACAGTGAGCTATATTCACTCCATTGCACTCCAACCTGAGCAACAGGGTAAGACCCTATCTCTAAATAAATGAATAAATGAATGAACTGCTAGCAACTTCCAAAAATCTCTGTCCTAGTAGCTGTCGGTGTTAGCTGAACATTGCAAACAACTGGGGAATTTTGAAAATGCCAATTCCTGGGTCTCACCCTTTAAGAAATTATTTTGTAATTTGTCTGGGGTATGGCTTGGGTACTGAATTTTTAAAAAAATGTCCTGAAGTAGTTTTGATATGCATCCTTGCTGTAGCCTGGTAGTTCTAAAACTAGGCACTTCAGCAGATTCAGGGTCTCTGGAACTTGCTGGAAATGCAGATTCTTATCCTCACCTGGCATCTATGGAATCAGAAACTCTGGGAGTGGAGCCCAGCAATCTGTGTTAACAAGCCCTCCAGATGATTCTGATATACGTTCAAGTTTGCAAAACAGTGTGGCATAATAATTCCTAACAGGTGCATTGAGAGTTTAAGAAAAAGTTCTCCATCTATCAGGGCTGTGTGGTGGTGGTGGGCTTGGCTGGATGGAAGTTCCAGAGCTTCCAGCAGTTGCGGGCGAAGGTCCTGATCTTCTCACCCAAAGTCTTGCTTTCTGCCTGGACTGTTGTAGTAGCTTGCTAACTGTAACCACCAACTCTGCTTCTTTCCCTCCCTGATTTGTTCTCCATGCTGTGGCAGACCTACTTCTCCCAACACAGGTCTGAGGTTCCTGTCTCCCGACTTCCAGCCCTTCTCACTCATGGGCCCTCAGACCCACCTAGAAGCAGCACACTGAAGCTCTGTCTGAGTCTCTGATGACTTCAGGGACCAGGCAACCGATAAAGCCAGTGAGGCAATGGGGGATGGTGTGTCTTGTGACAAATTGGAGCATGTGTGTGTGTCCACCTAAAAACACTAAAATTCAAAATTCAAAGGATGTCCTGGGCAAGCAAGACATGGCTGTGGGCTGGAACAAGGCAGCCAGCTTGAGATGAGGGGTAATGGGTGGATTTTACAAAAGATTAATCGATCAATCTATAATCTTTTTACTCTCGGAAGAGGTCGATGTTGCTGTTCCCCCCATCCTCTCGTGGTGTCATTGGGATGAATTATAGCCAGCCACAAATAACTCTCCAGGATCAATGGTGTATTGGGGCCCAGAAGAGACAATGGCTTCCTGCAAGGAGCTTAAAAATCTCAATGACACAAAACACACATGGGAAAGAAATGCTAGGATAGAATCAATGTTGTTTTTCCATTTCCACAAGGAGAGACTTTGATGCAGTGCGTGGTCCTGATCGCTGGTGTTTCTATGGTAGGTCCACAATCAAACCTTGATGATTTAAGAACCTAATTTTTCACCCTTGACCTTGGCTAAAGAAATAGATAATAGGC